CGAAAAATACTGCAACTGCAACAGGAAAGAAGATGATTTCTGTCTTGAAAAATGTTAGCCTTCAACCCTACGACATCTTGAAAGCTGTTGATGCCATCGAGACGCTGGGAAATGAATTTCAAAAGGAATTGGAAAAGAAATCTCAATATGAATTGGCTCGTGGCACGACTGGCGACGCACTGAAACTGGCTAAGGTTTGTAGCACTTGTTCGTGGGTCTTTTCATGCTACTTTTATATTTATAGATTATGAAGCTTTTATTTTTAAGGTAGTTATGCCTCTTTTAAGATATTTACATAATTCGAAGAGAGTCTTCTGTCAGTTGGCGGTTGATAGGCTCCTTTGAATTTCACTCAATCAACTCTATTCATATTTCTACGTGACAAGGAAGAAGCCCAGAATATTGGAATTGAAAAGGTTTGCAGAATATCAATATTCACCTTCAAACAAAATTTCTAACACTGACGTATCAGCTGAGACTGCATCATTCTTGAATAAGTGTGTGTATATATGAATATTCTTCTTGTGCCTTGTCCTACGACAGATCCTTTTTGGCATCCATTTTCTCCATGACACGCTGTTTCCTGAGATGTCAGTCATAAATAAAAAGGGAAGGTCAGTCAGGGTGGTTTTCCGTCTCCATGACACTTTATTTCCTGAGATGTCAGTCATGAATATAAGGGAAAGGTCAGTCAAGGTGGTATCCCGTTGCCTTCCCCTCCAGAAGGGTTGCCAGCAAAGGCGAGAGTCCCCTCTGCCCTCATTTCGATTTATGCCGTAGATGCGACCCCGACAGGTGCTCCACTCTCGGACGAAGGGGACCCGGGGCGTTCGTGGCTACGGGGTGAGTCCGCCCTCCCCGGATCTCCAGAACTCCCGTGCTCGAGGCTCCTTATCGTGTGCAGTTTATAGTCTCGGCCATATATATATTTATTTATGTATATATACATGCATACAAACACACACACACACACACACACACACACACACACACACACACACACACACACACACACACACACACACACACACACACACACACACACACACACACACACACACACATATATATATATATATATATATATATATATATATATATATATATATATATATATATATTATATACATTCTCATCTTTTTCATCTTCGTATCTGTCTTGTCCAACAGGAAGAGTATTATTTCAATAATTATGATATTCAGGGATTTAATTATGATATGGGGATTTGTCTGATCTTTCTATTTTCGTTCAGCATCCTGTCTCTGGATCATACATTTCTCTTTCGGGTCTCGCTCACTTTGTCTGACAGTCTGAGTCTAAGCTTTTCTAATGTCGACGTATGACAATCTGTTAGTCTTCTGTCTGTTTGTCTGTCTTCGTCTCCCACTCCTCTTTCGTTCTCTCCGTCCTATTGTGTATCTGTCCTCTCTATATCTCCTGTCCGCTCCTCTCTGTCCTTCTCTCCCATTCTTTCTCTCCCTCGCATTACTCTCTCTCTGTCTCTCCCTCTTACTCTCCTTGTCTATCACTCTCCTTCCCTTTCTTCCTCTGTTTCTCTCCTAAACCCCTCTACGTTTCCGTCTGCCTAATCTTTTCCCTTTCCATGTCCCTCTCCGCCACCTTTTCCCATTCTCTTTCCCTCTCTCCATTTCCCTCTTATTCCCCCCTCCTCTCCCTCCATCCAGTCACCCTTTCCCTTTCCCTCTCCATCTTACTCCTTCCACTTCTCTCTCTCCTCTTACTCTCCTTCATCTCTCCCTCCTCGTTTCCCTCTCCCTCTTACTCTTAATTCCCGCTTCCCTCTCTCTCCCTTTCATTTTCCCACCACCCCTCCTTCTCCCTTTCGCTTAAACTCTCCATCCCAGTTTCCTATCCCTCTTACTCTCCTCCCTGTCTCTTAAACGCACGCTTTCTCCCTCTCCCTCTTACTCTCATTTCCCCTCTCCCTCTCCCTTTTATTTTTCCCACCACCCCTCCCTTTCGCTTAAACTCTCCATCCCAGTTTCCGATCCCTCTCCCTCTTACTCTCCTCCCTGTCTCTTAAACTCACGCTTTCTCCTTCCCCCCCTTACTCTCCTTCCTCCTTTCCCTCTTACAATCCTTCTCCCTCTCCCTCTTACTCTCCTCCCTGTCTCTTAAACTCACGCTTTCTCCCTCTCCCCTTACTCCCTTCCTCTTTCCCTCTTACTCCTTCCCTCTCCTCTCTCTCCTTTCCCTTTCCTTCTCCCTCTCCTTCCTCCTTTCCCTCTTACCCTCCTTCTCCCTCTCCGTCTTGCTCTCCTTCCTCCTTACCCTCCTCCCTCTCCCTCTCCCTCTCCCACTTACTCTCCTCCTCCCTGTCCCTTACACTCACACTCTCTCCCTTCCCTAGGAGTACATGGATGACATTATCGAGGTGACAGGAAAGGTGCTAGAGAAGCCGCGTCCCTGGCGGAAGCTGACGAGGGCTGACACTGGGCGAGCGTCAGGAAAAGTGCAGGACGCAGTTGCCTCAGCAGCT